ATTAGTTATGAGTATTTAGGTTACAACCTCTCTGATGCAATTTCACCAATATTGTGAACCGGTCAGAACACCTGAAAAGTATATTACTGAGAAATGATGAAATTTCCTTATCTATTACCAATCGGCCCATCCTCATATTTACCGACTTATTCACTTACAATTAGATACGACTTATTCAGTTATTTATTCAGCTTTATAGCAATTAATACCTCACCATTTGTCCAGTACCAATAAATTAATATAGGATACATTATTTGTACAAGAGTGGTACTTTTACAATGGCGCTGATTGCTCATACACAGGTATCATACCTGTATGAAGAATAATCATTATCGTTGGAAATAAAACAACATGAGACAGTTTTGGAACTTGACTCAATGAAAAGCGAAATGGGATTAGTTTTTCTCATTCGTCTAATGAATGAGTTGGATTTCAAACAATGTATAACACATCTCATATCAACAGCCTGATAAAATAAATCCACTGACGACAGTAGGTCACTCGAAGATATCTAAACACCCACTGAAGGAAAAGGGAGGTCAGACAGGTTCTGAAGGGAGAACTCCCCTTTTCTTCAGTGCGCGTTTAGAAGTCTTGGAGTGATGTACTGTCTTTAGTTTAATATCTTTTTAGCGAGTTGATGTCTGACGTGCTTTATTTTATCTCCATACATGTGCTCTTGTGTTTTCTGCCCTGAATTGGCAATATGCTAGCTGGTTCGTTGTTTACTGGTGTTTTAGAAATTAAAGGCTCTGTGTTTGGCATTAGGTACCGATATCCTAAAGGTTCTGAAATACTACTAAACAAAATGTAAAATGAATTATAAATTTATATTATAAAACAGATTTTGGAATTAATTTCATTTTTTCAGATAACATTGTATACTTTTAACATGAACACTTTTCAAATTTTCAAGATCGTACTTTCTCTAAAAAACTAATGTGTAATTTAGAAGAATAAATTAAGTTTTACGTATATTTAATCGTTTCCATATGACAAAAATTTGAAAAATAAAATGCCTGTTGCACGCATTACATTGACCATTTTATTTTGAATAGAAATGATTTTCTGCATAGTGAATTTTTAATAGAACTAATCTTTAAAAAACATATCTATGAATTTCGGACATATTTACCAATGCAAAAAAAGTGCATCAAAATAACCAACCTTTTAAAAGCCAAAGGTAGTAACATAAAGTTGTTCTCTCACAGAGAAAAAAATTATTATATAACATATTGAACTGATTTCCTGAAATGCTACTTCATAACTGCACCCAATAAACCAACGATATAAACTTTTAAATTTATTTAAATCTATTATTTGGTTTAAAGTTATTTAGGGTTATACTCGAGTTTTATAGGGTTATACATATAGTTTTGCCATAAGTAAACATTTCTTAATATATTTTTAACAGCATGCATTTCTTAACGTTTTTTCTGACATAAGTTAAACATCGTTCATTAAAAACTTTTGGTTCAGTTCATAAAAACTCAACCTAGTAAAATAGTTATACAGTACTCTTTTTATGTTAATATAAATTTTAAAAGTTTTCCTCTAGTTTCTACAAAAATTGAATTTAGTTTTCATGGTTGTGATCCCTGAACACTATTATAAATGTCCTTTTGAGACAAATTGTTATATTTTTCAATAAACAAGTTCTAAAAAAAAAAAAAAAGTTTTCATGGAAAAATTTAATTTCTATTCAATTATATAAAAGTTCACATTGTTGACTACAACAATCATTCTTTAGTTTTTTCTGTTACTCCACATTAACTTTTACAACTTTATAACTTTGGCACTGTGAAAAGTGTGTTAAGTGCAATTTTTATGGATTAAAACTATAAAATTGAACTTGCATATATGAAAATTCTAAACTTTCAGTTGCGTTTTCGGGAAAATATGATTTTTGCACCTATCTCACAAATCACCGGTGCCACGGATAGACTATTTTTCTAAAATGCTCAGCTTTCAAACTCTATATTGCATTCATATTAATATTTTGACTCCAATTTTCAGAAATTCGTTTTAAACTTGGAGAAATGTTTTTATTTACTTTTCTCCTTTAGTTAATCATCGGATTTTTTCATAGATTATATTGACCCATGTTTTAAATATTTTATTATATTAGCATTTGTAAATAAAAACAAAACAAAAACTTATTTCAAAGAATTAAATATTTAAAAAACGTAATTATAATAAAGTAAATAAAGATTAAATGGATCATTAAAACCCTATAAAAATATTAACATTTATTGAAAAGATGTATGTTCTAAGAACTACAGAAGAATGAGTTACATTTCTTAACAAGAAAAAATGGAAATTGAAATTAAATTAATAATGACTGAACATATAAATTAATTTTTTACCAAAATTAAATAACATTATTAATGAAAATAGAAAAAAAAACTTATTATTAAGATAAAAAAAATTCCAATATTACTGACGTAATGAGCTTAACAATTATCTCATTTTTATGTGATAACCAGTGGGGCGGATTCTCTTGTATACATTTTTAGTTTTATTTTAGTTGTTTGTTCATTAATTTTAATTCTTGGAAAAATATCTGTTTCAATACTGAAATTCTTATATATTGATTTTTTACTATATGAAATTCAATGCATTGATTTAAAAAAACAAACTAAAAACTAATAAAAAATCTATATTTCGATATACCTATATTTTTACAACATTTCTGCTTGAAAAAGTGTATCACTGTAAAATTTTTACGATTGTAATACTGTTGCTTACTGTATATTTTTATATATTAGAAAGTGAAAGTAAAAATCGGTCGTTATTACGATATTTAGTTTTTATATGGTTTTATTTTTCCACAACTAAGGTGTTAATCTATTTTTAATATTTCCAAAGTAACAAAAAAAAGTCTTATTTATTTTTATGGTTAAGATAAAACCTTCATAGTGAAAATAAAAACTCGATTACTGTAACCCTTGGAGCCTTGGTTTGGATTCAGCACATCTTAAGAAAGTAATACTTCTTCGTTAACGGCTGTGTATGAAACCAGCATCTCCGGACCCCAGATCCGATCCATGCCTGTTGTAAGACGATAAATAATTACCCGCTACAGCCGGACTCGAACCCGGGACCCCCAGAACATAGTGCCTTACTCACTGAACTACCCCACTCATTGATAAAAAAGCCGAAGAGACTAATAAAGATTAAGCGATCAGATGGGGCCGCACAGTGGGACGAATGACCAACCGAGGTGGAAAAAATTAATGGTGATCATTTTTTAATCCGACGTAACGAGATAAAAGAGGGATGTTTAATTAGAAGACAATCATTAATTGTTATGATTTTAGTAGTCCCAAACGATAAATACAACCCTCTAAGCAACTACTGATCTGATGGCTCATGATTTGTTCAATTGTAGTCTTATCTTTAATTTGAGGTCAGCACCACTAGTTAATATTTTATTTTACAATAATAATTTTTATTTGATATGTACAGATGCCTAGTATTTAAGTCACTCATCAAATTATCAAGTCATAATATGACCAACTAACTTATTTATTTTTACATGCTATAAAATAAAGTAATTTTATGCCTTTAAAAGTAATTTACTAAAATATACCCAAAAATATCCCTGTGAAAAATTTCTCAGATATTGCTTAGTAGGTATATTAAAAAAAAATAAAAGAGTTGATTGCATTTGTTTGCCTTTTTTGACATTATTTTTAAAAATATTCTATTTAAATAAAGGAGTTATTCGGCATTTGGAAAAATCCTACTGATATATAGCCTATAATTAATGTTGTTTCGCAACGATTCGAGTCGGAAAACATCTCTTTTTTGCTGTGTTAAGAATATATCCCAAATTGGCAGATGCAATAATTAAAACAAAATGGCAAGAATGTGTTAAATTAGTCTTTTAACATAGTTTTTGGTTGTACAGTGCAATCAAATTTGAGTGCTTGTGGTGAAGAAACTTCGCTAAATGCTTCTTATTTGAATATTGGTCGCTCTTTTAAATGATTCGACGATTGCTATAATCGAGATAAAGTCAATGAAGTTTAAGATTCAATTGATACGCGAGGCGCAGAAAAAAATGAGTTAAATCATCACGGCAAGTGCAATTGAAGTATTTTGGATCAAACCTGGGTATTATTTCAAATAAAATATTTTAAAATACAAAATATAATACATTATTGTAATTTAGCATTTTAAATTAATTAACATATTAATTATTATAGAGTATTATTAATATTAATACATTTTTTCATCCTGTAGTTTTTTCCACCTAGATTGGTCAGTCGTCCCACCGTGGGCCGTGGTGTTGAGCGGGCTAACGCGTGTTTACAGCATCTGCGTGTGTACAGCCTGGCAACCAATTGGAAGATAATAAGTGATAAAATAATTACGAGTCCTAGTTCCGAAGGGCTTTTAACTCAGGCATAAATCCCCAATCCTCATCCACTTGTCTGGAAAAACCCGGGATAGCCTTAGAAAGGCAAGAAAGGGAGGACGAAGAAAAAATTCTTAGAAATATTCATGTACTTTGCAGGTATAGGACCTCATGTTCATTTTTTTCCAATTTAACATACTTACATACATTTAAATCATGTGTAAAAATAAAAATTTATCCCTAAAAGCATTTCTGTTCCTATTTATATTTGTTTTCCTTCAATGACCACTTACACATTATTTTATATAGTTTCTTACTTTTTCTTCTAAGTAATTTTTAAAAAAATGAAAATCCTATCAGACCAAAATTAAAAATCTCATATCTGCTAATGCCACGAGACTCATATGCAGGTTATAAAACGAATGCATTACGCTAACAATAACATGATGATCGCTTATGCTAAATTATGATAAAGGAAAGCTTTTAATCCTGTTATAGAATAATTTAACATCTTTAAAACGACTTTGTAAATCTTTGCAATATTAATAATCTTGTTAAGATCTGATAAATATTCAAGTAACTTTTTAAAATAAAGCATTAAAACAAAACCAATGACATAAAGCACAGATAATCTTACCTTTACTATAAAAAGTAATGATGAAGTAATGAAGTAACGTAAAAAGTATATGATGAGATTCTATATACTTCAAAAACGTAAAATTTTGTCTGGTTCCCCTTGGTGAAGAATCTTCTCTGCTGTGACTTTCTTGAAACAGTAACTGAAAAGTATGAAAATAATGGTGAATGCAGAGACGCCGGTACTTGTAAGGTCGTACTGCTGACAGATGGACATTAGGAAAATTGATTGGTGTGCAGTGGAGTCAACGGTCTGTTACTAGTCCACGCAAATATTCGAAGGCTGAGCCAGCTTAGTAACGTTAACACAAGTCTTGTCTATTAGGTTAATGATAATTTATAAATTTACTTGTATCCCTATAATTCATAAACAATGGTCTAAATCAAACAGTGCTATTTTTGTTTCAGCACTTTCTTGGGTAGGATTTTATATTTTTGGTTGGCCAAGCTAAAAAATAGCTGTAAATCCTTTTCATTCAGTTTAGAAACTCCTTATAAAAAATTAGTTTCGGTTAAATAATATTAATTTACGGAATTTATTGAACAACAATTTTTATTTGTCTCTTTTCCCTACTTTCTATGACCATATGTTAGATAATCATTTTTCTAAACTTTAGCTTTCCAACGATACATTATACTATTGCTTCCTGACTACCAAAGGTAGGGCAGCATTGTGTTCGTGCGAGAGGCTAAAAAAAATTTGTGCTCAGAATCGAAAATTTCCAATCGCGTTTTATGTTTCAGACATCAAAGGTCAAATTTGGTTAGGTGGCTGTCTGTCTGTAGTCGAATCGATGTGACGGGCATATCACCATTAGGTATTAACCTTTCATCCGATTTTCATGAAATTTTCAGAGATTGTGCGAGTTGGTGCCTAGATGGTCTCATATGAATTTTTTCATATTCCATCTAGTACAAACGAACTTTTTTAGGGATACCAATATTTTAGAAAGGGCTCGTTCGATTTGGCTCAAAGTTGGCTAAAAGGTAGGTAATGGGGGAAAAATAACGCAATGTCAATTTTATTGAATTCTGTCCCCTAATTTCTCTTATATAAGAGCATATGTATTGTCCTTGAAACGTCTGTATCTCTAAAACTGCATGTTCGATTTGGCTCAAATTTGGAGGGAAGTAAGAGATTGGTAAATAGATAATCAAATAGGTATGAATTTTATCGAATTCTATCCACTACTCCTAAAAAAAATACTTTTGCTTTCGGATCAGTAAACGTATTGTTTGAAAAGCCTATAGTTTGAAAACTGCGTGTTCAATTTGACCCAAACTTGGAGAAATTTTGGAGAATAGTATAGAAATTACCTAGTATGAATTTCATTGAATTATATTTAATAATTAAAATTAATATAAATAATTGTTAACAATATAATGTCAGTGAATTGTGAAAGGCCCTGATCATATGGAGTGGAAGCTAGGTTAAGACTATATTTTTATGTGGTTATAAAATTTTAGCTTTTATTCAAATAGTTAATTTATACTGTATTGTTTCGTCGATTCCAAACGTTACTGGCATGGTACTTACTGCCGTTACTTAGATTTCGTCTAATTTTCAATAAATTTACATTAATTTTGACGCTGAGTTTGAATAATCTTATTTCTATTGAAGTTCAACTACCTTATCGTGGTATCGAGTTTCTGTGTGATTTTCACATATATTTTTTAATTCCAGCTTAAATAGTTTTGTTCTGACTGAAGAAAAGTATTGGTCTCGTTAATTCTGAAAACAAACAAAAAGTTTAGTTTTTCTTATGGATGTTGTGTACCATCCATTTTTGGAGTGAAAACATGCCGATTAAGTACATCCTATTAGTGCTAAAGGTGACATTTTTTATTCTGCAACTGATATAAGCATTATGCTACGATGAAAAATAGCAGAGGACAATAAATTATGAAATTATACTACTAAATTATAACGAAACAATTAGTTTTTTTTTGTGCTTTCCTGTAAAACGCTCAATGATACATACGACCTTTTGCACTAAGTACGCACAGTAGGATTTTTTTGTTAATTACAAACCAGCAAATATGCAATCTACTTATGCGGATCTTTTTCGCATTTTATTATTTGCTGATGAACAAAACTCGTGGATATCAAGCCCGTGTAAGTTGAGGGATTACTGAATTTCCGAAAACGGCTTTTTCCAAAGATTTTATTCTCCCGCGAAAAATTTTAGACCCTGTAATATAGATATTTTTTAGCCAATGCAAACGGTGTGGAAGTTATAATGATCTTACTTGGCAGACGTTTAATTTTCTACTCTGGTTTTAAGAAATCAATTTTCAGCCTGGAAAAATGTTTCTATTTTTTTTTCTTGTTTTGTTTATATTTAACTATTCATATACGGAATGTAATGCACGAGAGTCCAATTGGACAAACGTCTAAATTTTAATCCTCAAACTAGACTGAAACGAAAAGAAATCGCTCGACGTTTCCGACTACTCCACCACTTACTGGACAAACTCTAAGATTCCAGTTAATTACAAAAGACTCATATACATGACTACAACAAGATCTATTTGGACTTACGGAGTTGTGCTTTGGAGCTCCACTAAGCCATCGAATTTCTTTCGTATCCGATCCTTACAATCCATAATCCTTCGGAAAATCCTCAATGCTCCTTACTTTGTCACCAATAAAATAATCCATAACGACCTTAATATTCCTTATTTTTTCGATTTGGCCCAATCCAGATACCAATCCTTCCATAAAAAACTTCAGAACCATCCGAATCCTCTCGTCTCTAACCTTGCTTCCTCCTGTATTCCTGATAACCCTCCAAGGCGTCTGAAAAGAAGACCTCGAGATCTCCTATTGTAAATACATTTTTTTTTTAAAGTGTAGGGTAGTTTTTCAACAAGTGATTTCATGTTATAATGTTCTGTTATCAAATTTACTGAATGTTATTTATTTATTTATACAGTTTTTAATATCATAAATATAAATAAAAAAACTTTTCATTATTATTTCTAACCACGGGTGACTGTTAATTATTATAAAATAAGCCGTATTAAAAGCACTTTAGAGATAGCCATTTTAAAAAATTGACATTTATCTATCTGACTATCTCGTTATGGATAAGACCTACCTGATATTAAAAAAAAAAAACATTCATCATTAATACTGATCTGACGACTATAATCAAAATCGTTAGAGCAATTTTCGAGAAAATCGTAAAAATATATAAAATCGTTGATATAAAGGGCCACTTCCGGTTAGCTAATTTTATTGTAATAGTCCGGGATCTATCGAAGATTTAACCACGTGATTAGCGACAGAAGGTTTGAAAATTGAAAACAGTAGAGATGACAACCTTAATGCTAAAACCCCTCGAGTCAGATGGCTAACTGGAAGCGTTTGTCTGTGGCAGAATTTCAAAAATCGCAAAAACATTTGGAAACTTTTCACGAATTTGAGAAGCAAATAGTTTCAGACTAATTCCTAAGAATATGATTTACAAAATCTGACCAATATTTAGAAACTTTTTGGGATCGTAGCACTTATTACGGGCGGGGCAGTAAAAAACAAAATTGGGATCCGTTGAGCCAAGAGTTTTTCCTGTTGCCTATTTCAGCCTCTCTATTAGGTTTATGAAAACTGTTGGTCAAGCTGATAAACAAAAATCCCAATATAATGACACACAAATCCATATTATTATTTAACTATTAACTATGCTATGTGTTAAAAAGTTTTTATTTTATATTGAATAAAATACTATTTATCTATTTATATATGGAGTATGATATAATTATCTATCTCATGGACTGATCACCAGCATCTAAACTAATACGCACTTAGTCATGTCAGTAATGTACAAGTTTATGTACACTAGGTTGTATGTAGTGTTGCCCAAATGCGAGACCGAGACGAGTCTTGGTCTTGCAAACTCAGTCTTTGTCATGGTCTTGGTCTTGCGCAAGAGTCTCGCAACGGTCTTGCAGTTACTTTTTAGCTAATTACAATACAGATATTACTGTAATTTGTTAGATAGGAGGCACCTAATGAGCCCGAATACAAAATTATAGGAGTTAAATGCAAAAGTATATTGGTTATACCAATTCTCTACTAACAGTAAATAAATTTATCAAATATTAGGGACTATTTTGCCTTAATTTTTATTGAAAAAATCGATTTTTTTTTTACCAGTCCTGATATTGGTCTTGCAACAGTTAGGCTGCCTTGGTCTTGGTCTTGCAAAGTGCAAGACCAAGACCGATTTTGGGCAACACTGGTTGTATGAAATAATCAATAAAGATACAAAAGAGATGACGTTTATATTAACCAAAACATAACGTTTATATTAACAAAAACGATCTTACCAGTTCTATCACGTTACCAATTTATTATAAATTCGCTTATAGAAATTACTAGAAGTAAGATGAAAAAATCTAAGTTGTTCTCGTCATCTGCGTAATTATGAACGTTTCTTGTTCAATGCCATATCCAGTTTAATCCTCAGTTTTTATATCATCGAAGTTTTTTATTTCCACTGGCAATAGAAACCCATCAAACCAGAGTGATCACTTTCACAAATTATCCCTCCACTACCTAAATAGAAAAATTAATGAACATTATATATTCAATAAAAGTTACTACACTAGCACGTTAAATATAGGATATAAGTTATCTGTTCAGGAAAAAAAAAATGTCCTAGCTATATTTATAATTGTGCAACCTTGTCCGTACAGTAGGCAGGTATATTCTTCTAGTTCCATGACATTTTCTTCTGGAATCCTCTCAAATTAGCCGAGTTTTGAAAATATTTCTATTAATCTTTAGTTTGTTTTCATAAACGTAGGTTCATGGCGTAAAGAAAAGATAAACTGTAGTGGCCTTTGTTTTTTCTTTATACCAAGAGGCAGATGTAAAGTCAGATCCTGTCTGAAGATGAAAAGCTGGCAAGGCTTTGGTTAAGTCGATACCAATCTCTCGTTGAAATACGAGCAATCTCAGTTTCAATAGTTATGCATCTGTTTTTAGAGAATAGCAAGTTCCTCATAAGCCACCATCCAATGAAAATTACCCAATTTATTGATGAGGTTCTTGGGTTTGCGTTCGGTCTTCAGCAATAAATTTCACAAACTCGGCTTTGAAATGATCCTTTCCTTACAAATCTATAAATTTAGATAGTCTAAAAATTTGTGATTCCTTTATAATAAAAATATCTGATGTGGTAACCCCTACCC